TGAGTCTCTAAAATGTTACTGGAAGCTCTGTGTGCCTACGTGAGGGCTTATTGATTGGTATACTTCTTCGTGGGTAGATACGACGTGACTATTGACAGTTCACTGGGAGACCCCACTTATCAGGATCCATAGGTCTTTTCTTTTCTTTTCAGCCACCTCACTTCTCCAGAGAGGGCACTTCCAATTTCCTAGCTGTTGATATATAAACCTAGTTGTCTGTGTTCTGGGAAGTAAGTAGGTAAAGTGGACCAGGAGGTCTCACTCTTTAAGATACAGACTTCCTTCCAGCCTTCTCCCACATTCTGCTGTTCTGTACCCTCAGGTCCAAAGCCTCTCACATCCAGAAAATTTATGTTTTCTAGAATGTAAATCTTTGATACCCTGCTAGAATAGTGAGTGAGGGTTGCTTAGAGGTTAGGGAGGCATCTGAGTATCTATCTGTTCCTTTTATAATCATTCAAACAATCCTATTTTCAGATCCACTCTTCTCTCTTTCAGAAGAATCTCATGTCTCCAATTCCTGAGCTTTTCCAGTGCTGTGTCACAAATTGGATTTGCTCCTTTTAGGGTTCCACCCCACTCTCCCAATCCCCACAGGCATTAGGTTTCAACATCCTACAGTCTACTAATTACTTCTGAATTATTTTCCAAAATTTGGTCAACATCTTTCATCTGGTGTCAACTCCTTCCTCTCCTGTTCTCTTTTCCTTATGGATGTATTCACTTTTTATTAACTTACTGTCATTTTTGTGCTGTTTTGAGATGAAGCATAGATAAACATATGTATTCAATTCTCTACTTTAACCAAGAGTATTCCTTTTTATCTTTGAATGTCTTTGAGTTTCATTAGATGGTTAGAGGAACTGATAGAATTTAAAACTTCTGTCCCTTTGTTTTCCTTATTGATAATCTTAAGACAACAAAAATATTGAACATTCCATACCAGTTTTCCTTTGGTAGTTGTATGTGAACTCTCTCTCTCTCTTTTTTTTTTTTTTGGATTTACCACATTCTTCCTCTGGATTACAACAAGACCCTTGACAGTGGGGCCTGGCCACACTGTCTTGACAGGACTCATATGAAGCTAGTAGGAAGGAAAACTGGTAGCAAGAAGCATGTGAATCTATTTTAACCTGGTTTTAAATGATGATGTTCTATTCTCTAACATACTAGGTTTCTTTTCTGACTTCTTTCTTCTTTTAAAAAAATATTTCAGGGACGCCTGGGTGGCTCAGTCAGTTAAGAATCTACCTTCAGCTCAGGTCATGAACCTAGGGTCTTAGGATCAAGTCCCACATCGGGCTCCTAGCTCAGCAGGGAGCCTGCTTCTCCCTCTGCCTGCTGTTCCCTCTGCTTGTGCTCTTTCTCTCTGTCAAATAAATAAATAAAACCTTAAAAAATATTTTCAATTTTTTTAATGTGTGTCTTCTCCCTATGAAGAATTTTCATGGGCTTTCTTTTCTTATTCACATTTCCCATTCAGTTTTACATTCTATTTTCTCCTCTTATTCACCTGCACCTCTTGTTGCTTCACCTTGTTGACCCTCGTTGTCTCTGTGGACACTCTCCAATAATCCTTGCCCCACGAAGGAATGCCCATTTGCCCTTTAGATGCTCTGGCTTTCCTCCTATCCTTGAGAACATTCTTTCAAACAATTAAAAGCAAAGTCCACCCATTCTCTGACCCCTTGAAAGAGAATAGGGCTTTCCTGACCTTAATTAGCTTCCTTATTAGACCATTAATTTATCTTTATTCTAATGAGAATTTGTTCTTAACTTAAATGTGGCTTTATTTCTCTAGAATCTGAGAAATTTCAAGTGTCTGGAATGTATGATCAAAATAATAGTGTTTTTCACCTTACATGCTACCACCTCTATTCTTTCTGGCTCATACATCCTATCAGTTATTGTCTCATTTCCTCTTTTTACAAGAATATTCTGGACTTTGGCATGCTTAACCAGAGAAGCAGCCTTAATTATTTACTCTTACAGTTCAATGGTAATTATTTAACTTCTAATGGAAAATCTAATCTACCTCCCTTCCTCTCACCCCAGCTAAAGGAAGTCTGTCCCCAGGCATGTCCTTAGGTAACTTTACTTTTGGAATGATGCCATTCTATTCCCTAGTAATGATCAATGATTGTTTATGTGCCAAACCAGTGTCTTGTATTTTTCAAGAGTGTGCATTAAAAAAACAAAACAAAACAAAAAAACAAGCTCCATCTCTAAGTGGCTTCCTTTTACAACTAATGAGCAGGAAGAGCACATCTAGCTCCTTTTGTCTGAAAAAGAAATTCACTCTTCACTTTTAATCTAGTTTCTCTTGACAAAGTTACCTCCAGCAGCACTGAGATTGGCAGCCTCTAGAATGGCTCCCAGTTATCCCTGCCCTCTTTTATTCACCCCCTTGTGCAATCCCTTTGCTTTGAATGTGAGCTGGACTTACTGGCTCATTTATAATGAATCGAATTTAGCAGAAGCATTGGGATGTCATTTCCGAGATTAGGCTAAAGACTGCCTTCTATCTTAGACACCCTCTCTTGCACTCTCAGTCTTGTTAACTTGCTTGCTCTGAGGGAAGCCAGCTCCATGTGTAAGTTGTTCTATGGAGAAGTCCTTATTGCAAGGAACGGAGGGAGTCCTCTGACCAATAGCCAGCAAGGTGCTAAGGCTTTCAGCCCAACAGCCATAATAAAATAAATCCTGCTAACAACCACAAAGTGAGCCTGGAAACAAATCCTCCTCTAGTTGAGCCTTTAGGCAAAACTGTACCCCTAATCCCCTGATACCCACCTCACGAGAGGCTTTAAGCCAGGGGTACCCAGCTAAACCACATTCTGACCCACAGAAACTATGAGATAGTATATGTTTGTTATTTGAAACCACTGAATTTGAGGATAATTTATTGTGCAGCAATGGATAACCAATACAGGTCCTTAAGGCTAATTTTTAAGACTAGTCTATGCTTTTTATATGTTAATTTTTTAAATTTTATTTTATTATGTTATGTTAGTCACCATACAGTACATCATTAGTTTTTGATGTAGCGTTCCATGATTCATTGTTTGCATATAACACCCAGTGCTCCATGCAATATATGTTAAGTTTTTGTTTATGTCTTTCTTTCCTCTGGATGTCAATTTAAATTTTTTTTTTTTTTTTTTTTTTTTTTTTGAGAGGGAGAGGGCGAGTGGCAGAGGGAGAGAGAGGATCTTAAGCAAGCTCCACATTCAACGCAAAGCCTGATGTGGGGCTCGATCTCATGACCCTGAGATCGTGACCTGAGCTGAAATCAAGAGTCAAACGCTTAACTGACTGAGCCACCCAGGTGCCCCTGGATGTCAATCTAATTACTCATATAAGATTGTCTTTAAATTCTTCTTTGAGAGCAGAAAACGGCAGTTGTCAGTCTTGTTCATAATTGCACAGATAGGGCCTAGCACAGCGCCCGGCCCCTACATAGAGGTTCAGTATATACTTACTGGATTCAACCCTTCTATCTTTTTCTGCTTGTCCTAGTTTACAGGTTACTCCTTACTTTCCATATTGCCATTTCTTTAGTGATTTAAGAGTTAGAAAACTTGCTGGTCTAATTGCCTTGACCTTTCTTTCCTTTAACCTACCATCCCTTCTCTAGAGCTTCACCACTGCTGTCTCATTTGAAGCAAACCTGCATCGCCTCTCTCCTTGGGGTTTCTTCAGTGGAACTGAGTCCATGTGTGCTCTCCCTTCCCCCTCCTGCCTGGCCTGTGAAGCAGCTCACTTTATCAGGGAGGCTGTGCTGCAGTGTGTCTGCAGGAGACACTCAGCTGACCCCCTAAATATCTGGAGAGGTGAGTACTGTGCTTAGTGTTATTTTAAAAGGAAGGAAGGAGTAAGGAAAAAGAGAAAGAGAGAAAGAAAGAAAGAGAGAAAGAGAAAGAAAGAAAGAAAGAAAGAAAGAAAGAAAGAAAGAAAGAAAGAAAGAAAGAAAGAAAAAGAAAGAAAGAAAGAGAAAGAAGAAAAAGAGAGAGGGAAGGAAGGAAAGAAGGAAAGGAAAGGAAAGGAAAGGAAAGGAAGCCTGGAGATGTTGAATGCTAAGCCTGAGGGTCTCTTTGAAATTTAGAAGCAGAATCACTAGAATTCAGGTTTCCTGAAATAGGAAACATCGTATCAAGGAGATTCAAACATGAATCTCCTCCATGCTGTGTGCCCTAAACTGCTTAGCAGTTCAGAAATAAGACTTTATTAGAAAAGAAAATTCAAATCAAAATAAGTCCATTCTAGTTTAAATAAAAACATTGCTGAAATAATCATGCATACATAAGATAGACCAACACATGTAAATTATCCTATAGTTTAGGCTGACGGAAAGATAAAGCCCTAAAGAGAAATTACTTTTAAAATATATTGTTCCAGGGTTCATAGGTGGCTCAGCCAGTTAAGCGGCTGCCTTTGGCTCAGGTCATGATCTCAGGGACCTGGGATAGAGCCCCACATCTGGGCTCTCTGCTCAGTGGGGAGTCTGCCTGTCCCTCTGCCCCTCCCTCTCCCCTCCCCCTGCTCATGCTCTCTCTCTCTTTCTCTCTCAAATAAATAAATATCTTAAAAATAAAATAAAATATATTGTCCAAATTATTTTTTGAACTTAAGCAGCAAGTGCTCTAAAAGTTTCTTTGGCAAAGATTTAACATCAAAACAAATAAGACATAAATATACAAAGATTCCTAGTCTTAGAAGTTTTAAATGGTCATTTACAACATTGTAGAACTGTGTGCCAGGAAACTGCAGAGATTCTGTAGTTCAGTGAATTCATTTTATAGAAAAGGAAGCCAGGTGCAGAGTTAAGTGACTGCCTAGTTAAGAACACAACCAGGATGTAATCCCAAGTCCCTGACTAATAGTCCCCAACTCTTTGCATGACACCAAGCTGCCGTTCAGGTTTTTGTCTGCTTGTCTCGTTTTTGGAAAGAATGTGTGCTCTCTCACTAATGGCGAGGGCTCCACCCTCTGCTTCCTACCTGTTCCTGGGACTGGTGAAACTGCTGTATCAGTTGTGTTTGTGCCAGCATTACTCTTTCTAGCTCGTCTGACTTCTGCTGCATTTCCTTCCTCAAGTCCTCTGAAACAGAATCATTACTATCAATTTCCTTCTTCAAGCGGGATTCAAATTCTGCAACCACATTTTTAAGGTTTTCAATTTCTTTCTCCTTTGACTCAGAATCTTCAGTATACCGGATATAAGATTCACGGAGTTTCTCTTCAAGAGTGGTCACTTCCAGCCTTAGATCTCTAGTAGCACTTGCGATTAAGTCTGATATCTGTAAGATAAATCTTGTATTAACTTGTAGGCAATATCTCTAGGTAACCACCGAGTTCTTAAGGTTCTAAGAGGTTTATTCTAAATAATCAGTGTACGCTTCTGATCAAATGAAAACAAATCCTATGATATTATGTAGGTCTTCAAGATTTTTTTTTAAAGTTAAAACTAACATGTATTTTTACCACCTTAAATGGAATTGCATATTAATGACTTGGGCATCCTTGGAAATATATAAATCTCTGTGTCTGGACTGAGCTACCAAGGACAGCTCAAGTCTTGATCCAGGTACCTGTCTGGATTCAGTATGAGGTAGCTTTGGGACCTAGAAATGCCTGATGTTTGGGGGTACATATAGGGGAGCACCACAGTTATATTCTACTCATACCATAGCAGTAAGTTTTCATTTGATATATTTTTTCTTTCTTATATACAATGACTGGAGGTACCCTAGATACTACAACTTTGAAAGCAGCACTGCCCAATAGATGATAAAGATACTCTGTGATATCCAATATGGTAGCCACTAGCCACATGTGCCTACTAACAGTAGTGTGTCAATAAATATTCAGTAACTGACTCATATACACAAAAGCCAGATTTGTATTGAGTCTCCATGGTGTAAATATTCTCACCCTGACCGATTCCAAGGTGACATCACCAATTGCGGAGTTGGGAAGAGATGCACTCCATAGGCTCTGGCTTGCCAGGACTGGCTAGTGAGCATTAAAAGTGTGGCTAATGTGACTGATGAACTGAATTTTAAATTTTATTTAATTTTAATTAATTGAAATTAAAGTCACCATACATGGCTAACATATTAGACTGTGCAATTCTAGAGAATACCAGAAAATATATATATACATATTTCAAAGTATATTTCAAAGTATATACATATACTTTGAAAATATACTGTCTCTGTAAGTGGCACCTCTAGATAAAGAGATGAGAGAATGAGAGACAAAGAGATGAGAGAAGATGAGCAGCTTTTGCTGAGAGTCCTGGGAGTCTTTAGAAGGGAAAAGGCTGCTTGTTTTTTTTTCCCTTAAAAAACAAAAGAAAGAAAAGAAAACAAACCAGGAAGAGCAAAGCTGCTTCTGATGAAACATATCCTTATTATTTATGCTATGGATATCGTCATATTATAAATATTAGTATAACAAGAAACCAGTCCGTGAAGAATCTGGAAAATATTCATAGACCAAAGTTCCAAGGATTTTGTGAACTATTACTTAATAGTTATATATCCAAAATTTGTTTCAAATGTTAAATTTACATTAAGAATAACTTCTGCACGAAATCTATTTACACTTAGTAACTTTAAAAATTAAATTAACATTCCATTATATTCAATTAATCCAGGAAGGAAGAGGGTCATTGCTAGGTCTGAGCAGTAGTTTCCATCATCCAGAGGCGAGTCGACACTGAAACAGACCAGATTATCTTTGGGAGAGGAGACTCACATAGCCACAAATAAGTTTTGACCTCTTCAAAAAGGGAGTCAGCTTTTAAAAATCAAGAGAATTCACTTACAAAATCTGTATTTATGACTTACTTTGAAAAATCATAACCCCTGGCAAGTTGGGGTCTGCCTTAAGAGGCCTCCTCTCGGAGCAAACTAGTCTAGGAGAGGTAGAAATTTGGGTGAGCTGAGACTTCAAGCTCCCAGCAAGTGCGCCATTGTCCCAATAGAACTTTACTTACAGAACACAAATTCAAAGGTAAAATTACGAAGAATTTCAAGACAACATTTGCAGAGCATTACACCCAAGTAGTATGAGGCCTTTTTGAGTGTGGGACCCTGTGATATTGTACTTGTCACATACTCACGTAGCTGGCCCTGCCTATCGTTGACAGTGCTATTGAAAAGGCTGTACCATATCTCCTGTACACCAAAGTAGAGGCCATTAAGTCTCATCTGATACTTAATTTACACAGACTATTAGTGAGTTTATTCGAAGTATGATTTCCCCACTGAATCTTGGTTAATATACACACATATATACATACACACAAACACAAATATATACATATACACAAAAACATGCATATATATGACACTCAGGTCTTATAATAACAGGACAACCTAAACAAAACCTTAGACTGTTTAGGGGGGCCCCAGATGGCTCAGTTGGAAAAGCATGCGACTTGATCTCGGGGTTGTGAGCTTGAGCCCCATATTGGATGTAGAGATTACTTAAAAATGAAATCTTTAAAAAAATTATGTTTAGGACATACTGTTTCAGAAATTATGGAGGTAGATTACATTTTTAAAATATTTCCCTTCATTCAAAAATATCTAGAATTGGAAATACTTGCAATTAAAGGAGATAGGCTTTAGTTGTTGGTAAAATATCTAACCATGCTAATTATTAGTTATGTAATTTATGCTTTTATGTGTATTTATTTATTTTAAAGATTTAATTTATTTGAGAGCGAGAGGGAGCATGAGGGTGGGGGAGGCATAGAGGGAGAGGGAGAGACAGACTCCCCATTGAGAGCTGAGCCAAACATGGGGCTGGATCCTGGGACCCCAAGATCATGACCTAAGCTGAAGTCAGATGCTTAACTGACTGAGCCACCCAAATGCCCCTAATTATGCTGTTTTAAAAATACGTTTATTTTGGGGCAACTGAGTGTCTCAGTCAGTTAAGCGTCTGACTTCTGCCTCAGGTCATGATCCCAGGGTCCTGGGATCCAGCCCCTAGTGTACCGGGCTCCCTGCTCAGTGGGGAGTCTGCTTCTCCCCCCGACCCCCATTCGTACTCTCTCTCTCTCTCACTCAAATAAATAATCTTTTTAAAAAGTTTATTTTAGTAGAAAAAATTCCTTACATAGCTGTATCGTATGCTTATATGATTTATCTCAGCTATTAATTCTGGAAATGATCTAAACCACTCCACCCATGTCGCTAAAACCAAGGCACAATGATCCTGAGGAAAGTTCCTTGAGTTAAAAATACTGTACAGTGCTCTTAGAAGGAAATGACCAACATCTATAGTTTCAAACCCATTAAATAATAATGAACATCATGATGACAGACCTTTGTTTGTAGTTCCTCTTGTTCTTTCTTATACTTTTGGATTATTTCTTGGTGTTTTTCCTTTTCAATATCAAGCTCTAGTTTAGCTTCTTCCTTAAAAAGCAGAGCTTGCTCCTCAAATTCAACTAAATGTCGGGCTCTTTCCTTGGCCAGCTCAGCTTCAGTCTAGAAAATAGCATTTAACACACATATAAAGTCATTTGACCTTAAGATGAGTAAATTAAGCTTATTTTCAGACTCTAATTTTTTTAAAAAATTAATTCTAATATTTATTTTTTAATGAATCTAACTTTTTAATTCTAATATTTAAAAATAATCTGACTCAGAACTTAGGCCAGAAAAATTGACCTTGGGTCAAATATTTCAAGATCTCCTAAGACCTTCTAAAGACTTGTAAAATGAGTAGAGAAGTTAGGACAGTATCTTACGACAGTTTTCAGAAATATTAAAAGCTTAATCTTCTGTATATGTATATTATAAACTCAGTCCTACCCAGAAACCCTATAAGAAAAAAATAAAAAAGATTTTGAGGCCTTTAGACTACGTTCTGTTGAAAGCTCAGAGGGGATACAAAGTACAAATGTTGATTTTTTTTAATGGTCTTTTCTTGATGGAGATCCCAGAAATTTTTGGAGTCACAGATTATCATTTTAATGTGATTGAGGCCAGAAGGATGATTAAGGAAAACACAGTCAAGTCAGTGATGACTGTATCTGTGTTGTACTTATATAGAACCACAGCACTGCAAGGGACCTTAGAAATCCCCTGGTTCCATTTCTCAAGCTTCCATGAATTGTGGAAAGAATAAGCAGGGGCTTTGGATTCAGATGAAGTTGAGTTTAAATCCTGGCTCTAAACCCTGGCTCTGCCACATTCTAGCTGTATAATCTTAAATTGTGACTGTAACCTCTCCTGGTGGAGTTACAACTAGTTGCCTTGGGAGTTATGAGGACAAACGGGACAACACATATGTATAAAGCTCTAGCACGGGCAGAGATTCAATAGTCAGTGGAGATTACTTCTATGCTCTGACTCTTCAGTCTCTACCACAGAATCTGCACCAAACGATTGTCTGCCCTGTGCCTCAATACCACTAGAAACCATAACTCACTCCTTCCCAGCAAGCATTTCCATTTTCAGTCAGCACTAAGCATTAGACAGTTTTTCCTTTAGTTGAGCCAACATCTCTCTCTCTCTGTGGTTTTTCACCGTTGGTTTTGGCTCTGCCTATTAGAGCAAGACAGAGAACAAATCTATGAGTACTGGAGTCATTCAGGCCTGGTTCGTCTAGTGAGATTAGAGAATCTCAGTGACAGGCTGGCTCTAGATTTACATTGTGCCATGATTATGAATTCTTAGAGGGAGTAAATGCCAGATAACTTGGAAGAAAAACTGTCAAACTTGACTTCCTGTGACTCTGTGATTCAGATCACTCTGAGAGGAGGAAAGAGGTCAACATTAGTTTCTCAGGGAAACACTGAAACCAGGGTACCAGAAAACAGAAAATTTGCCAAGAAAGTTTACATAAAGTCCTTTAAGTTAAATAAAATACAGATAAAAGACTAGCCCCAGTGTGGGGTCAGTTGAGTTTGTTGCACTGGTTATAGGACTAAACATTTCCTCCAAGGCAAAACAATTATGTTTATACTAAATGCAAGGAGTTATTTTGGCTCTCTCAAAATAAGTTTCTGGACCGTTTGAGAAAAAGGATGCTAAGGATCATTTAGGAACATGATAGCATTGCTCAAATGTATTGTTCTCAGACTCCTAAAGGCAAGGGAAGCCTCAGGGGCACTCAGGAAAAAACAAACAAACAAACAAAAACCCCAAAACAGATGTTCTTCTGAATTCCAGGTACTTACATCTACCCATCTCCTGCTAGCCATTGAGATATACCACAGGTGTCTCAAATAAACGGTATGAACCAGAAACCTAGATACAATCCCCTCCCCACCTGTTCCTTCCCCAGTCAAGACACAGTAACCACAATCCATCTAGTTATTCAGGTCAGCAACTGGGACATCATTTTTACCCTTCACACCTAATCCAACACCAAGTTCTATTCACTTTGCCTCCCAAAGATGCCTTGAATCCTTTCATTCCTTTTCATTGCTTGAATTAAGAGAGTAAGAATATATACAGACTAGATGGGACAGGACAAACTATAAATTAGATGACAGAAAGAATTTAGGACTTTAAAAAAAATTTTTTTTAATTTATTATGGGGAAGAGGCCATTTAGGAAATCAGTGGAGTCCCTAGAAGAGGATGGAACACAGAAGGTATTCAGGGAAGAAAAGGAGGTAGCTGATGGACTGAACAAGTCAAGTAGCAAGTCAGGTAGCAAGTCCTTCTTGTCCCTAAACTATTCCTTGGAACAACTATTGTAGGTAAAGAGAAAAAAAAGGAAGGAATAGAAGGAAGGGGGCACCTGGGTGGCTCAGTTGGTCAAACATCTGCCTTTGGCTCAGGTCATGATCCCAGGGTCTTGGGATCGAGGCCCGCGTGGGGCTCCCTGCTCAGCAGGGAGCCTGCTTCCCCCTCTGCCTCTACTGCTCCCCCTGCTTGTGCACATGCACACTCTCTCTCTCTCTCTCTCTGACAAATAAATAAATAAAATCTTAAAAATAAAAAGGAATAGAAGGAAGGTGGGAAAGCAAAAGCATGTAAATAGAAGAGAGAAGAGTGATTTACTATTACTGAGTTGATTTTTAATGTGCACAACCAGAGAAAGAGAAGCAAAGTAATGAGCTTCAGGTGGGATTTGTAAACATTTAAGGAAGCTGCAACAATGCCAAGGGCCACCTGAATGTGTTGACACTGTAGCATAGAAAGATACCACTGGTTCCTTCATAATCTGAATAGATTGAACAAAATGATGAGCCAACAAACACAGTGATTTTTTTAAGCCAGTATATTATTTGTCATTGAGAAGATGAATTCATGCCAAATTATGTTTATGTTTTTTATATGTTGATATAAGCTCTTTAAAATATCTTAGATAGGGGCACCTGGGTGGCTCAGTTGGTTAAGTGTCTGCTTTCAGCTCAGGTCGTGATCCTGGGGTCCTGGTATGGAGCTTGGCTCCCTGCTCAGCAGGGAGCCTGCTTCTCCCTCTCCCTCTGCCCCTCCCCCTGCTCCTGCTCTTTCTTGCTCGCTCACTCTTTCAAAGAAATAAATAAAACCTTGAAAAAAATAAAATAAAATATCTTAGATAAAAGAATAAAATATCTTTGATGGCAGAACTTATGTTTATGCAAAATAAATTAATCTGGTGATGGTGCTTATATAAAATATGAACCACTTATATAATAATAGTAATTTTAATAACCATGGGGAAAATAATATATGAGCTTAGAAGTTACACAAAGTAAAATAAATTGTTATCTCTGTACACATTTCAGTTTTTAATTTTTTTGCTTTTTATTTATCCATATCTCCCATTACTTCAAACTCCCTCCTTGGTGAAGGCTTCCTGATGACTCTAGAGCCACTCTGAGTATGTTGTTTTTAATTCCCTTTGTATTTGTATTGAAATGCGTAATTAGTATTTTATAACACCTGTGTCTAATACTGATGTCCAAAATTCTGTCTTTTCACTATTTTCCAAGTGAGATATTTGTGGTTGATTCTGCAATAATTTTCTGTTTTGGAGCCAAATACAATGTTGTAACATATTCATTCATTTATGACAATCCCTATAAAAGCAAAGGAATTTCAGATGTTGAAGTAGTAATTAGGTCATTTGTTTATATTTGATGTACGTATATAATTTTAAAAAATATATCTCCTAAAAATCAATTATTTTACTGTTTTCCAAAAGTTAAAAAAATGCTGGTTGAAAACTAATACTTCAGATTATTTATGAATTAACTGCTGAATAAATATATTGTAAAAGTAGATGATTATTCAAATACATAAACTTTGCAGTAAAAAAAAAAAAACAATGCTAAGGGATCAGAATATGTGTTGAAGTCCTGCCAAGAACTGTGTAAACTCAGTATGAAAGGAGAGAATATTCACTTGGTACCAATACAAGGTAGGATGGCATGGTACAGAACACATTTTATATATTAACTCATTTAATTCTTATAACATATAATAATAATATTATTATTATTCACAGTGGATTATGAAATAGGCTCAGAGAGGTTAAGTACCTTCATCAAGATCACAGAGGTACTATGAGATGGAAGGGGTGTGCACACTTCGATGTTTCTGGTAGAACCCATGGCTCAGCATGTTTCATTTTTCCATGTAGCCTGTCTCCTCACACATCTACATAGCATAGTGATTAAGGGCATGGACTTGGTATTTATTTAGTTTCAAAATATTTGGGGATCTTTCCAGATAACTTTTTGTTAATAAATTCTATTTTAATTTCACTGTGGTCAGAAAAAATTCTTTGTATGTCTTGAATCCTTTCAAATTTATTGAGAGTTATTTATGCTCCAGAATATGATCTATTTTAGTAAATGTCCCATGTGCACTTGAGAAGAATGTTTATTCTGCTGTTAAATGGAGAATTTTATAAATATCAATTAGGTCATGTTAGTTAATAGTGTTGTCCAATGTATTTCTTAAAAATAAGTTGTTCTAAAAAAACTATTGTATTATTTTCCACAGAATATATCTCTAATAATTTTCTAGGTATTTTTCTATCAATTATTGAGAAAGGGCTATTATTGACATCTCTTACTCTAATTATGGATTTGTCTATTTCTCCTTGCTGTTCTATCAATTTTAAAACCCTGTTATTAGGTGAATAAACATTTAGGATTATTATGTCCTCTTGGTGAACTGATCCCTTAAACATTATGAAATGATGTTCATTATAGCCCTAATACTCTAAATATTCTGATCTTTGTTTTGAAATTTACCTTTTTTTAAAAATATTTATTCATTTATTTGAAAGAGAGAGAGAGCACTGGGGGGGAGGGTCAGAGGGAGAGAGAGACTGAGAATCCTCCAGTAGACTCTGTGCTGAACAGAGCCTGACTCATGGCTCGATCCCAGGACCCTGAGATCACAACCTGAGCGGAAATCAAGAGTCAGCCACCCAACCAACTGAGCCACCTAGGAGCCCCAAAATTTACTTTTCTAATAGTAACTAGTTCCTCTTTCCTTTGGTTTGTGTTAGCATATACTTTGTGTTATGCATCCTTT